TTATTGGTTATTAGTGCATCATTTGGATTTCTATTGAAATTACATAAACTGTAAACCCCGTGCTATTTTTGTGCCCACTCACAGAACGTCAGAATGAAAGCATGTCAGACGTACTTATTTCTAAAAATCAATGACCATACCTTAGTACATATTTTTGCAGAGATGTAGAAAAAGGATATTGACATGAGGACTTGCTGCAGAGACTGAAGCCTGCTAAACCAATCCGAGGACGTGAATATCCCGTCCAAAATTAGACTAACTATAGCCAGTCCGTTTATCCAGTGAAAAAAGACGGGGACGGAGATTGCAGCATTTATTGTTGTCGACAGATTCTTGATTTTGCAATATTCCTTTGTAAGAATGTCTTGTAATTGTTGGTTGGGTCGCTTGCATGATTTCGTAATTTCTATGAAGGATACAACTGCATCCTTCAAGAGGAGGGAGGAGGTGATGAGCCCAATCTGGGCAAACAGAGTTAAGCTGCAGTCCCAATTAAATGCTATGAAATCCATCACCCAAATTGTGACAAGGACCTCGTCCACCGTGCAGTTGGTCATATTTGATAAATCTTGTTTAGAATGTGCGCCCAGTGTCCACACAAATTTGGTGTGTTCCACATGTAGGTTCAACTGGCAGAGAACATCTCTACTGGTCAATATATCCACACATGCAAGGATGCCGGGTAACATAGTTACAGAGATTGAGAGCAAGTCGAATTTATCAAATGGCTAGAAATTGTAAAAAATTGGTCTTTAGAAGCGATCCCCCGCCCATTCCCACTCTCGCTCAAACTTTCACCCACCACTGGATGTAAAAAATGTTCGGTAACATTTGTACCTGACGCATGGTACAAACCAATAAGTTGTATGCATGATTGAACTAAATTAAGGAAATACCACATAATAAGGTGCCTTTCATAAAATAATTAGCTTTCTACATAAGAACATCTCAAGAATAAGTACGATCTGCCATTCACCTATGCAGGTTGAAGTGATCGAACTTTTTTATACACCCTGTACTTTCACTTCCTGTTGAGTAAAAATTGTTTACGTATTGTATTAACCTTTACTTACCCGAACCCATGGACCCATGTGCATGCCTGCCTTGGTCACCATGTCGGCGACTTTGGTCTGTCGGTGTATCCAAAAGAGTGAGAAGAATGCAACAACGTAGAGAACTTCACTTATGGCTCTAGCAACTTTGAAGTAGAGTAAAATTTTCGGCGTGTCCTTTGCCTCCATCACCGTCGTGGTCACGAACCCCAAAATCAGCCTGGTGAGGCCGATAAGCTGAACAAGGCCGCAAAATATCTGACAAAAAATGAAACAAAAATTATTTTTTGCTTACACACATACACTGTAGCCAGAAATAGAATTTTTGAAAATTTAAATTTTCTGAATAAATTTTCGAAAAAAAAAAAAAAAATAACTGTGGAGCAGAATATGTTTTCCGCCACGATGACACAGAGTTGGATAAAGCTTAGTGTTAATAGTATTTGTACCATTTGGAAGTTATTAGTGGCCATCTCGTAGTATTGTTGACCTCTCTGACTCAAGGAGAATTCACACTTGACGGGCACCATGCCGATGTAGTAGGCCAAGTTTATAAACTTGACGAGTCCAGGTCGAGCTTTCTTCCACATTATTGCTGCCTGCAAAATACATAATTGTTCAGGGTCAATATTAATGAGGGAGGAAATAGTGGAGAAAGTAGTGGTGAAAATAATGCAGAAAATAGTGGTAAAATAGTGGAGAAAGTAGTGGTGAAAGTAGTATTGTTCATACTAACGGTAGATAGGCACGAGGAGGGTCTCGGCGAACTTGCTAAATAATTGAGCATACACAATAATTTGGTACCAATCTGAATACGGCGTTCCCCCCGGGTAAGAATATATGTCCGTGATCTCACTGCAGACCAGTATTGTTTACCACTTTGGCAGCTATAATTTGCTATCAAATTATTTGGAGTGCAGTACAAAATAATTGTACATTGCGTTGCATCAAGCTCATTCGCATTCACATTTTCTGTCATTTAAACTTTTCCGTGCATTGTGGTAGCTCCAAGTTGTTCATCAACATTCAATCTCGGATTTGCATTCAGCACAATACAGATACATATACGGTACAGGGTACAAAAAAACTTATTTTACCTTTTTCAATCAGCGGTCGAGAAGTTAAAAAAATGGCCAGCACCGTCACACTCTGACCTACTTACGGAAGATTTTGGTGAAAGCACACTTTCACCTTCAGCTCCACCCTTTTAGTCCTTCCAGCACAAGAAGAGACGTTCCCAAAGAAGGCAGGATAATTGACTTGTTCAATTTTTGCGGCGTCCCAGTAAAGTTGAATTCGGCTTAATTATTGCACTTTTTTCTTTTACAACTTTCCACCTGTTATTCCCTAAAATACTGGAGAAAGAGTGACGAGAGGAGAAAGGAGTGAGGAAGAGGAATACAGTTGCAATGAAATAAGTTGTAAGATATTTATGACTAAATTTAATTACTAATCAATCTAATTTTTCGAGTTTGATCCCATAAAAAAGTGCATAAAATCACTCTCTACACTTTCTCTCTACGACCTCTCACTACTATGTGTCATGCATGTACAGAGAAATGAGGGGTGTCCTGTCTGATTGGAATAATTCGTTAAAGGATGACTATACTTCTAGAGAGCTGGACAAGGAGGGTAAAAAAAGACAATTTGCAATTTATTTCGCAATTATTTAGCAACAAAGGGGTAGCATGACTCGCCAAATATGTATAAGTACACGATACTGATCAGCACACAAAAAAAGGGAAAGACATTCAGAAAAAGTGCATTCATTTTTGGGTTCATTTTTACGCAACATTTTTTATTATCTTTTTTTACGTACCTATCCTTCGCTTATCTTGTACGAGAAATGAGTAAGACGAGTATCAAAAAACATGTATGTATCAGCGTCGGATTAAACGTGACGATTCGATTCAAGAGAAGAGGATCATTGATTCAAATTTCAGCTTATCTATTCTGCGGAACAATGATATTGACTCATCGCCAAAGTTTAATCTGTTGTCTCCGTGACAATAAACAGCGTTTTTATTTGCAATTTATTTTTTTGCTTCGAAAACATCTTGTTTTTCTCACTCATTATGACCAATGTGGGAGTTGTAAAAAGGCTTAACAATCGCGAATGAAAAGAATAAGGAGCCAAAAGCTGTCGTTGACTTCTATATTGACGTCAAAAATTGTGTTGGCAACTTCGTTTCAACCACCAACCTACAAACGTGAACTACGTAAGTTACAGGTCATGTGAATTTTGCTGTCCAGTACAATTAGAATCATTGCATATGTGGACGTATTAGGTAGGTAGGTTGGTTTATTCGAGATTGATGTAGCGCAAGCTTTTACAATCATATAATCATTCATCAATATACAGATTCATTCAAAGTACATACATACATAATTTCATCTTACAAATCAAAGAACTAGTAAAGTGTGTGCTCAGTTGTGGGCATAATCCACAAGTAGCACTCGGCATCCCAATACAGGCTAATCACGCACTCTAATAATTATGATAAGCTAAATCTAATGATAATATATATGTAACCGCAGTAGAAAAGGGTGTAGAGGGAAAACCGAGAGTTCGGAAAACCTCTACATGTATTGAGAAGGTGGCCCAATACACCATTCGGCAGATTGCTACCATACGCCCAGGTAGGAAAATGAATGGCAGGGATACATAGGCGGATTCCATGGGGTGTTGGGGATATCCAAATGAGTAATGGCGTCTGCAGGCGGAAGCAGACAGTTGAAGGTTGTTGGGCGGGTCACTGCCCGCGTCCCCCATGGAAGCCGTAGCCGGGGCCAAATTTCTTGAAGAAATTTTGACATCAAATTAAATGTTCTGGATTCGCATTAGTTATCATCTCGCGATATTTTTGATGGGGCATCTTCTTCAATGTAAATTAAATCATGAATTACTTGGAAAACTTGTTTTTGATTTTTTTATCCAGACATTGTGGGAAAAAATGATGTGAGCCACGGCATTTTCCAAACCACACTTCCAATCAGTTGCCAGAATTTGCTATGAAATTTTGTGTCAACGTAGATACAAAAATATTATAAAATACTAAGGAGGAGAGGTCCCTTGGTGGAAATGTCCGATCGCCTTGATATTTTTTATGGTGAAGGCCCATATCATGGGGAGTTCGGAATGGGATGTCAGTAGTGTCTATGGGCCCCACCTCCTGAGTGCACACCCCCTAAAAACTCGAGAATCACTCAACTTACCACCTTCATTTCTTCACCAAAAATCCAATTTTGGTCGGATTTTCAAATTTTTTGCATATTATTAATCCCAGATAGTTGCTCCACGGTATCCAATATAAAACTCATCAATTTTGAAAATTTAATTTTCGAAATACATACCCATACTCAGGAAATTATCATAAATATCAAAATTTTCAAAATTGGTGAGTTGAGGAAATATTGGATAACTTTAAAAATTATTGATAACCATGTTGCATGATCCCTGCAAATAGCAAAGTAGGCGTAAATTCTGGTCGTCCATTAAATACATGTTGTTAAAATGCTTCTTTAATTAAATCGTAGTCTGGATGCCACACACAGGTCAGAATCATTTGGCAATGCCGTGATATTTTCATTCAGTTTTCACTTTTACCCTTTGTTCATCCAACCATCCGCTTTTCAGATGTTTGATTTTATGTAAGAAACAAAAAGTGGTAACTTCCAATCAATTACAAGTTCAATGATACAATTTCTCGATGATTTTTACAATAAAATTCAGTCAGGCTGACATCCTGTACCTTGAAAGTGAGAGAATAAACCTAGAGAAATACATGCATGTCCAAATGATAAAGCGAAAGTCTGCTTCGGGAACCCGATGGGAATCCGGGAATATATTGATCTGCCATTTCCTATCGCACAGCTCTACATTCTCTAAAGCATTGCGCTGTGCATGGATGAGAAAGTAAAGGATCTACCATTTCTTGCCGTCTGCAATCTTTCCTTATGTTGCTAAAAACGCACATAATCTTAACACCCACACTGCAAAAAATCGGCTGGTGTAAATTTAATGGTGTTAATTTTGGTGGTCATTTGTCACCGTGTAGTGTAAATTTTGTCCCCAATGGTGTTATAATTTACATCACACGGTGTAAAATTTAACACGCAAAGGGTGGATATGTGACTCCACCGCCTTGGTGTCAGTAATTTTTAAGTGACCATCTAGTGATAAATTAACACCACACGGTGACCAATTTACAACACATGGTGACAAATTGACACCACATGGTCATAAATTGACACCATACCATAAAAAATTAACACCACCCGCGGGGTGGATATGCGACTACACCGGATTTTTTGCAGTGCACACCTTCAATTTGTATATCTTTATTACATCTTGAGATCAATTAGTGAAAGCCATGTTCGGATCGCGTAGATCTTCAAAACTTCAACGCTACCCTTCAGCCGACTACGAGTTCCACCCAGGTTCAGATTTTGAGCTGATTTTAACCAAGTCAGAATTTCGACCTGGAGAGATGGTCACCTTCCAAGTAAATGCCCGGAATGGAAACGCAGTCCGATTAAATCTTTACACGCAGCTTATGCAAACTGCAGTTTTTCTTCAAAGAGGAAAGTTCAGTGCGGAGAAAACCGAGGTTGGGAGCGTAATGAGTCACACCACGTTTTGTAATATGACGTGGCGAGATCAAATCTATATACCACCGGCGACACAACCTACTACTAAAACCTTGCGACCAGGACAAGTTCAAGACGAGGGTTACATCGGTAAACGAGTTGTCGAAATTTCATACAGCTTGGTAATTAAACCTATTATAAAATTTTTACATTGGCCGTACTCACGTCTCTGTTGGAAAATGTGGCAAATCTCGTTAATTGGGCATAGCAACATAACTTGCCAAGTTTTCCAAATTTGCGAGATTTAACAAAACTATTGGCTGAAAAGCCATGGGATTTCTCTTCGCAAATTTACTCAACTCCAAGGCATGTATTTATTTGACAAACTTATTTCGCAAATTTGCCAAATAAGGTTGCTTTCCGACATAAGAACCAGACGTGAGGACGGCCATTATATTTCGTTGGGTTGGGTTAACTTTGGTGCGTAAATTATATTTCAAATTATACTGTATACAATTTTTCACCCAACTTCCAGATTTTGTCTACAAGGGTGGAGTCTGTAAAATTGATAAGGGATGAAATGCCAATCAAAATCGTGCCATGGGAAGTTGACAATGGAGTGGCACAAATTTATCAGAGTCCAATTGTGGCAACTACCATAGTTGCCACAACTGGGGGTAGTTGTAACGAAAGTCGAAACCTGTTTCCTCAGGCTGTACCTTTTAATAGAAGTTTACTAACAACAGAATTTGACAATCTCCCACCCCACTACTCTATGCTGTCATTACGCTCCCCATTCAGTGGATCCTCGGAAACCCGTAAGCATAATTCAATGTGTCTAACAATGAGTCTAATAATGACGGTGCCTCATGTGAGCTACACTTATTTTGTTGAAATGGATGGCTAACGATCGTGAATTTTATGCGGATAAATTGGTCTAAGCTAACTACATGCTATTACCCAGATGTCGCTCCCGACGGGATTTCGGAGTAAGCCAAAATGTAGAATTTCGAAAAATCTCGCTCAAAGATGTGCACAATTTTGCCTCCTTTTCGAATCGAATAATTTAGAAACCTCATAGTTTCAAAAACTTTACCAACAATAACCACACTTATTTTTTGGAAAGCCTCAGAAATCCCTAAAATATTGACACAACATCGTATTTGATCCATATAGAGTTGTACAATTCCCAGGAAAGGAAAATAGATTCCCGGAGTTTTGGGAATATTCCCCGTTCCCAAAATTCCCAAGGAATTTATTTTAACATTGTGCTTATGAAGAAATAAAATAAATTCCGGGAAAATTGGGAATATTCCCCACTCCCAAAATTCCGAGTGGGAATTCCACAACTCTAGATCCATATCTATTCATTCCCATACGCATTCGCAGGAATTTGAACAGAATAACAGATTTCAAAAGGCACTCGCATTTTTTGTTGAGCCGATGAGTTCTTTGAATTAAATATTTTCAAAAATATTTTCAGTTCCACCCAGTTATGAGGACGTCGTACACAATTAAAATCTAGACGGTCATCCTGAATGTTCTCTGTGGCACAAAGTCGGAAATTCGTCCATTTCTGGTTTCAATACACGTTGGAATTTGTGAGTATTTTAATGTTTAGTTGAAAATGGTTGTTTCTCATGTTAAACCCAAAGATTAAACGAGTTGTATCTTATGTTCAACGAAAAGTATGCAGCCACCGCATGCCGTATCCAATGGTGTATGGTTTTCCCATTGTTTGGGTTCTTCCTGCAAACCGCATCTATGTATTGTCACTGATTGTTGAGAAACCTTGTTATTTTGGTCATTTAATTTGTCACGTTTTAATGTTATTGTGTGTAAATTGCTGTACTCTATGGGCCTCGAAAGAGTGGAAGAAATAAATAAAGTGCGGCAAAGCACGATACATAAGTAGCGCAATAATGCTGAGAATGCTGAGGATGCTGAGAATTAATTTGCGCTATAAAGCTCAAATTAATTAAATTAATTAATTACTGATTGATTGATTAATTAAATTAATGACTGATTGATTAATTAATTGATTAATGATTGATTAATTAATTGATTGACTGATTGATTAATTAATTGACCACATGCTCTATACTGCGACATGCCGACAACACCAAAAAACATGTTTTCCCCAAATTTCATGCATATCGACCGCAAAATGCCGAAATTAGGGCATGGCGACAAAATTTGTCGCAAAACCTTGATCGCCATATTGCGACATGAACACAACACCTAAAAACATGTTTTCCCCAAATTTCATGCATATCGACCGCAAAATGCCGAATCTAGGGCATGGCGACAAAATTTGTCGTCAAAACCTTGATCGCCATATTGCGACATGAAGACAACACCAAAAAACATGTTTTCCCCAAATTTCATGCATATCGACCGCAAAATGCCGAAATTAGGGCATGGCGACAAAATTTGTCGCAAAACCTTGATCGCCATATTGCGACATGAAGCCAACACCAAAAAACATGTTTTCCCCAAATTTCATGCATATCGACCGCAAAATGCCGAAATTAGGGCATGGCGACAAAATTTGTCGCAAAACCTTGATCGCCATATTGCGACATGAAGACAACACCAAAAAACATGTTTTCCCCAAATTTCATGCATATCGACCGCAAAATGCCGAAATTAGGGCATGGCGACAAAATTTGTCGCAAAACCTTGATCGCCATATTGCGACATGAAGACAACACCAAAAAACATGTTTTCCCCAAATTTCATGCATATCGACCGCAAAATGCCGAAATTAGGGCATGGCGACAAAATTTGTCGCAAAACCTTGATCGCCATATTGCGACATGAAGACAACACCAAAAAAAATGTTTTCCCCAAATTTCATGCATATCGACCGCAAAATGCCGAAATTAGGCCATGGCGACAGAATTTGGCGAAAAAAATTTCGAAACCTTAGTCGCCATATTGCGACATGTCGACAACACCGAAAAACATGTTTTGCCCAAATTTCATGCCAATCGCCCAAAAAATGCCGAAATTAGGCCATGGCGACGTTTTTCGACATGATGTCGACAAAGTGGTCACACCCCCTTAATAGGGTGTCACCCCATAGCCGTGAAGAACATGTGTTAAAAATTTCAAGTCGCTGAGACAAGCCGTTCTTGAGTTTTAGTGTTGACGGACAGACGGACGGACGGACGGACGGACAGACTAACTAACCGATCGCATAAGTAGCTTGCGCTACTTAATAAATCTATCTATCTATCTACTAATCCATATCTTGAACGGATTTCAGTAATGCAATTTTTAAAAACTTGTATTCATCCGAGCTTTCGATAACTACACTGCAAAAAAACCGGTGTAGTCACATATCCACCCCTCGTGTGGTACTAATTTGTCACCGTATGGTGTAAATTTGTAGCCATGTGTTGTTAATTCGTCACCACTTGTTTGAGTTAACATTTTTCTTTAAATGAAACCAGCAAAACGCGCGTGTAAAACTTTCCCCGAAAACACTGCTGAATCCGTTTATCAGCAATCAGCACTGATGGATTGTATGAACTTCCGCATCCTTTCTTTAAACTTTTAAATATAAATTTGAAGTCAATTCCTATTTCCCCTGTATACATAATTCCACTCCAGAATTTTCCGTTTCTTAATTGGAGGAATGCTGCTTTTATCTTCACTTTCGGAAATATTACTACTAGACGAATCAAATTGCAATGTTTTACTCATTTAAAAAAATGGTATCAGAAATAAAGAAACTGGAATAATATGGGAGCTGGGATGGTAATAGAATGGTATGAAGGTGAATAGTACCAGCCAGTTCATTGTCTCTTATCTTTAGTTTGCATATCATATTATTGGGTTAGTCAAATTTTTAATGGGCAAAAAAAATAATACTTATGGGCAAAAGTAGTATGGGCAAAAATATTACATTTAATGGGCAAAAGTAATATTTTTAATGGGCTCTGAGTCTTCAGAATTTAGGAACTATTGCCCCTTCGTCGTTAGCCTTCATCTTTTTGAAATGTGGATGGCATATGATTTTCTCTGGATTTACTTGGCTGGGGTTCGCTCTTTTTGTGGGGATAACGTGCATCGTGCACTATTTCAGGATTTTGGAAAGGTATTTATTATGGATATTAATCGCGAGTTCGCAATGCTACATATTTTTGGAAAACTTTGAAAAGTAATTTGCAAACTAAATATGGGTTGTGTGCGCTTTTTCTTCTAAACACAAAATTATACCGAAATTTTTTGCTCACCGACAACTTGTTGGTGAGCAAAAAGTTAGCAACAGCTAGTGATGCGCAAATTTTAACTTCATTTTTTTCTAACGTTGCGATGTAAGATAGTGAAGTGAATATCCTCACTTTGTAGCCCTGAGGATGAGCAAGTTCGTAAATTATTTTAAACCCAACTTTTTTCCCCTAACGATGCAAACTGGTCATTAATGTCCTCAGCAATTGGTTACCGTGATTAAAATTTTGCCATGTTAACGAAATTTAGGGAGGTACTGTCAATTTTTAACGTCCACGATAAAGAGGAATGCATCAAATTCTACAGGGAGATTCAAATTCTGGAAAAGATTTTGAACTCATTCCTCATGCCGAGCATCGTTCCGCTAACAATCGTCATAATTCCACTGCATAAAATAATTGCGCAGTATGTGTGTGTCATGCTTCGTGACGAAATCCCGATGCCTGGCTTCCTCGTCTTTCCCATCATGGGGGTGGACTCGACGATTGTCAACATCCTGGTTTTCACGTTGGCCTCCTTGGTGCATAACGCGTCTCGCGACATTCTTCAGAAGTTGGGTCAAAAAATTGTCACGTTCAGAGGTGGTAACGAGGACAGGTTGCGCAGAAAGGTGAAAGCTTGTGCCGTCCTGAAGATCAAGTTTGGCTCAAATTTTATCGATCAAGGAACTCCCCTCGTAATACAGAATTTCTGCATGACGCAAACAATGAATCTTATTTTGATGAAGGTGGCACGATAAAGTAGAAGGTGATTATATAATTTTGGACAGCCAATTTATTTTTGGATGGATTTTGGTTGAGTAAATATCGAGTCTTGTTTGCGATGCGAATGAAATATGTAAATGGATTTTATGTGACATTTCCAATATTTGCAAAAGTCTTGTAACCGTTGGCAAAATTATGTTTTTTTAAATGTATAAATCTAGACTTGGATGCGATCATATAAATTTCACCCATGTTTTCTCATTTAGTAAATGCATAAATAGATACGTTTTAGTTTTAGCCCGAGTAAGGGCATATGGAACCGGTCTGTCTGTCTGTCTGTGGACATGATAACTCTCTTTAAACTTATCCGATCGACTTCAAATTTGGTACACACGTATATTGGGTCAAAAGTAAGGCTAACAATGCGATGACGCCAGCGGTCTCGCTCCGATTTTAATGAAACTATGTAATTGTGTAGATTTACATAAATAATTAGACACGTATTTCGGGTTTTTTCATAATGCTCAGTTTGGACGAAGTTATAGTGGTATAAGTGAGCGAGAATTGACATTTTTTCCTAGGCAAATGCGTTGACCTTTGTTTTCATTTCTCCTCCTTCTTTACTCAATTTCGCTTCTCGCAACATTGTCTTTGAGAATATTTTTTGAAATTCGAATTAAAAATAAAAATATATCCAATAAATATATTACTGAAATTGGAAAAAATAGAGTCATGTAAAATTAACGATAATCGTTATTTAATTTAATAAATTATTGCCGTTGAAAATAGTTCTTCCCCTAATAATTAAAAACAAATTATCAAAGGGGTTCAATTTAATAATTTGACTAATAAAATCACGATTATCGTTAATTTTACATAACTCTATTTTTTCTAATTTTATTTATATAGTATATATTTTTATTTTTAATTCGAATTTCAAAACCTGGCGACCATTGACCATGTAGGTCATGACCTACATGGTATATTACCGTACTCGACCTTTGTTTTAAGCCCTTTTATCGATAGTCGCAGACCGGAGTAAAATTTTGGTTGCCTTCAAAATTTATATTTACAGTTTTAGTTTTAAATAATTAATTTGTTTGCTTAGCATTGCAAGCTCCCATAGTGCTTTGAATGGATAGGAAGAGAGACGAACTGGGAGAAAAAGAAAAGGAGAAGTTTGACAGCGGGTAGAAACAGAGGTTTACAAGTTTGTCCTGTGGAGATCGGTGCAGTTGTTGCAATTTTACTGGAATGGTGGCAATGAAGAAATAATGTCGATTACGACATGCTCAACATTACGACAAGTACAAATCATTACTTTGTACTTGCTGCATCATCTTCACTATACATAAAAACTGACGGAACCATCGTAGTGACAAAGTTTAATTCGCAACAATATTAAATGTGTTTATAATCGTGATATAATGTGGGGATGATGTTCTTAATGTGTTGGAAATATTATGTGTGCATGTGGACTTGAATGTGTGCATATATTTACTAGGTGGTTGATTTAAGCATGGGAATGAGAAATGTGAGACTGCTGTTGTAAAGTGTAACAATTATTTATTTTGCATTTCACTGCATATGTACTTTTATTAAAGTGCTTTCGGCACATTGAGATTAATTATATTTAGTCTTAGTTGCTCTCTGAATGAGGCAAATTGAGACTCGAATGCCATTTTTGTTCAGAGCTGACAATTTATATTTATTAATTAATTGGATGATGCGGTTACGATCGTGGGGCTTTATATATCCCGCACGGTCGGACCGAAAAGGAGTGGCTAAAAAGCCCTCCAAAATTCTATGAAAAATCTTAAAATAACTCAAAATTCTGAGAATTTGAGTTCATCTTTCCAACATTGGGTACATGCATGCAAAAGCTCAATTTTATGTAGTGCATGCATATGCGTGGGTTGAGTGGGAGAGAAACTACAGCTCGTACTCTTTGCCACCACCACCATGCATATGTCTTTGTTGCAGTTTTCATGCAACAACAATATTACAGAAAATGAGAAGCGTATATGCTTCTCAACACTAAGTATTCAGGGCCGGATGGTGTTCTTGGCAACATTCTTAGAATAGATAGAGTTTTCCTCCAAGTTGACCACCAACCAACTGGGTAAATACCCCGTAAATACCACTAAAAATTGTGATCTAAATAAATTTGGCTCTGTACCTTGCAATAACTGATGGTTAATATGCAATAAATATACATAAATACATATGCTTCTCAACGAACTGCCTCGTACTAAAACCAATTTATCTTCTTTTTTTCCCCTATCCCCACCATCCAACTGGTATTATGACTCTTACAAGCTTACACTACCCATTGCAAGGTAGATATACGAATTGAGATATCTGGTCTGACGTCAGATTTATTTGGTAATGCTCATTACTCGGTAAGATTTTTTTGACAAGTCTCTCAGTAACTAAAATAATTATTAATTCCTCGAATTTCATGGCATGTGCAAACCAGTATTCATCCCCATTACGATGTAATTCATTACGCAAATTACTGGATGGAATGAGCTAAATATAAAAGCACCACGATTTTCTTCCAGGATGACTAAACAAACTTGCGAGAGACAGGAAAATAGACAGGAAATATTATCTCGCACTAATTTGGTATTGTTATTTTATCCCATATAAACTTGTTTTTTTACGAGTATTTATACCGCAGTATTCTTTCCACTCCAAAAAATTGGGTTGTCTTTTTAGAGTCCAACCATTTTTTTAAAACTATTTAATTGATAGCGATTTAACCCTGTTTCAGCTTATAATTTGCCTTGAAGAAACTGGGAAATGTCGCCCACCATGTTCTATTTCGCCGTCATGCTCATCGTTCTCGCTGCCTTTGCCGTCCTAGAAGCCAATGGTAAATTTACAAAATATTTCAATGACCAAGTTTAATTAGTATTAAATTTGGGTGGCACAAGCAGGATGACTTTGGCAATTCAGTTTGAATTTGCATTGATTATATTTTACATTTTTGGTTTCCTTAGGAGAATGTTTCAACACGCGGTGCCACGCCCATTCTGAGGGATCATGGTGCCCGGAAAATATGATCACGAAAAGCTGGCATTACTGCGCTGGTATCGCCGGAAAGTGGGAAGAGTGTTGCACCCGCTAATTTCCAGTTGGTTTGCTTCTTCAATCAGTTGATACAAAATACAAATTGGGTTTGAGAAATATTGATTGATTATGGATTTCCTTACATGAGGCAATAAATAATGGAGTGATAAATGTCAATATACTGTGCGAAATTTATTTGCAAATTTAAATCTTTAAATATTAAGAAGTTGTAGAAACCAAAACGTGTTTTCACAAATTCCAGATGCATGCAAAAGGTTGGACAGCTACGAAATGAAAAGTTTTGCATTTCTGTGATGTTTAAAAATAAGCAAAAACAATTTCTGTATATGATTATTTTCTGATTAACTAACATTTTTAACACACTTGTGCCTATTTAGTAAACTTATGTATAGATGCCAATTTCACACTTGCAAATGTTAATTTTAAGAACGCTTCGTCATACTCCTCCTAACGCAATTGTTGAAATTTTGAATCACTATTTATGAGACTTATTTATCATACTCACTACAAAACGTAGTGTCTCCACACTTGGGCAAAACAACGGCCATCATCCATCGTCCTGCGTATATCGACCATTTTTTGCGTCCATCGTCCTGCGATGTTTTTTGGTTTAAATGAATTTATGAGTAAATTACTTGAAAAAAACCAAACTTTGCATAAAAGAATTTTCAGCAGGTTTAGGAGATTAAGATAATAGGGAGTATTAACTTTACGAAGGAGCAGATTTTTCTGCTTTTTGCTCATTCTGCGACCGCAACCCCGCGCATTGCTTTTTTTGCTCAAAAGGGAAAAAGTAACTCTGGAGATGCTTTATCTAGTGAGCAGAATAACCAGGGAAATGAGCAGAATCGCATGCGCAGTACAAACAAAAACTGAGCAAAAGGTATACTTTCTGCTTTTTTGGTCAAAGTGATACTCCCTTATGAGTGATACTTGTTTATACTAGAAAAACTCAATTAACGTCATGTCTAGCCAAGTGGCTGCAACCGATTAATCTCATCTCAATTCAGCCAATTAATGTCACTATCAATGCCAACCTTGGATGAGTGAGGACCCAATTTTGCAAAAAATAAAAATTGCTGTTAATTTACTCAGGGAACTCTATGTTAATAGAATATTTTCTTGCTTACACAATTGGAATTTCAGGCATATTTTGAACTTAATTATTTGGATCATTCCATTTAAAAGCCTGTACAAAACTCGCAAACTTGGCAAAAATCTATACGCATGTTCAGGAGTTAATTATTTTAAACCATTGCCATAGAACGAATTCACAATTTGTTTGTGCCCATCCCATGGCGATGCGTGAATGTCTCTTCTCATACACCAGAGCTATACCCCGACCATTTTTCGGCGGCGGCGGCTGGTGAGCTCAAAATCCTCGGCGGCGGCAAACTTGGTTCATTCGATCATTTTCTGCATCGAAATAAATAAAATAACCAAGTTGGTACACATTGATTAAAGTAGCAGTACATGTATTTAAGAGACGTCCACCGTTTGTTGCCAATAAAGTTTTTATTATTATTATTAATTTTAACAAACGTTCAGGCCACTAAATAACTCTTCTGTTGTACAATCCTTTGCAGTGTTTCGTGTGGATAAAACCACACTGGACGGGCTGGTGCCCAAAAGGTGGTTTTAATGGTCAAAATGGCCAAAAGTGGGCAATAGGTTATATCAATATACGATTAACCACTTTTGGACATTGACCAGTGGTTAAAACCGGCCAAATAAGGTTTTGGAAGTCCAAAAAGAAACACTGATCCTTTGTAGCTTTCACAGAAAAGTACCTATTTTAAAGTGCAAATAATTATGCTAAAATGTGTACAAATACAACTATCTCGTCTGACCTTCTATGTACTATTTCCTCGCCTCTTTCTCCAACTCCCTTTTTACATCTGATTTTATATTCTACCCAATTTTCCCATCGACACTAGTAAAGTCTCAAAATATCTTAAAACTCAACACAAATCAATGCCTAAAATTGAAATACTTTTTTTATAATCTAGAAGCTTCCAAAGGTATTTTTATGTCAACTCTAAATCTCGCAAAAATAGCGAGTCTCTGACATCATAAATCAAAAATCCTAGAAAGCCATTCCAAATGATTACATAGGAAATGTTCTATTTTGCCATAAATAGATCGAGGTCTAGACTTTCCTGGAGCACATACCGAGCTGTGAATTTTGTAAATAATTAATATAACCTATAATATGTACAATGGGTAAAATATGATATGTTTATAATTAGTTTATCTCTTAAATACTTTTAATTATTGGACTAGCAACAGTTATTATTTATTTCGCAAACTTTTGCTATTTCAATACGGACTTGACCTGAGTACGCCAACTAGCTGCAATTTTATATGTATCCTGCAACTGGATTCCAAATATTATTGCAGGTGAGTAATGACCTTAATAATCCCAAAACTTGAACAATACCTTGTTTATCATCAACTCGTTTTTTAGTTACCGCACAAGTATCTGTGGGCCGTGTCAATTATTCAAGACCATTTTAGCTTCATAACGTCAAACAAACCACTCCACTGAATTTATACTGCTGACATGAAGTATGACATGAAGTATGACTCCACATAGGTATATATTACTTTTTGAAGGAGATACACATATTATTAATTTGAGTGAAGGTTAGGTTAAGTCACAAACTTAACTTTACACATCAACAGAAACATAATAATTCATGAAATAAAACTGAAGGTGACTTAATTTATTTTACATACTGTATTTGACGGTTACCCGTCTTATTGACCCAGTCAGATTGCCCCACGATAGATTGACCCAGCCGTATTGACCCAGAGAGACATTGACCACATGCCATATTGACCCAGCGTCAGATTGACCCCAGGACATAAAATGCAAGTTCAAAATAATCTACAGCTCTCCACACGTATGTTTATACTTACTACATAGTTAATGTATACTATATCAAATTTTTCGGAAAAAATCCAGGGTTGGATTCACACTGCAATTTCTAAAAAAAGTTGTTGTCGTATCAACTCGCTGTGTCAATATCAGGGTTGTAGGTGTGATTTTCACAGTCTGCGATTTCACTGTGATTTATGTGATATGTGATTTCATTGTGATCTGTGATTTGTGTGATTTATGTGATATGTGATTTCATCCAATACTTGGTTAGGGAGGTATGTAAGTACGTATTAAATGTTCCATTTCCCACCCAAACGATTAATTAATACTATAATCGTATTCTACATGAAATTACGAAGATTTTGGTATATCATAGAGCATACTCTTAAGTTTGTATACATAAATCGTATGACAGGGCTACGTTGCATATATTAAAAAATATGCTTATGTCATTACATTACATACCAAACCATATCAAATTATATATCAAAATCTCCGTAATTTCATGTAGAATACGATTATACTATTAATTAATCGTTTAGGTGGGAAATGAAACATTTAATACGTATTTACATACCTCCCTAACCAAGTATTGGATGAAATCACATATCACATAAATCACATAAATCACGTAAATCACGCAAATCACATAAATCACAGTGTGATGTGATTTGACTCACTGTGATGTGATTTTAACAACCCTGGTCAATATGGTTGGGTAAATCTGTCGTGGGTCAATCTGACTGGGTCAATATGACATGGAATCATATTTGACGAAGTGTATGGCACACCCTTTTTATTAAGAAACATTTACCACACGTATTTCATTTGATTTCGTGCAGTCCAGAAAAAATTCCACTTATCTACTACCCATCATTTATTGTCCATGACGAGCATAAGTGAAACTGTCTGCGTCCAGCAAAAGTCTTGCAGTACGAGAGGTGTCCCACCGTCGACAAAGTTGCTGCCGAATTTAATCTTGAGACTAGTACATGACCACAGTTCCCTCCGTAGTATCTTTCCCTCCCTCTTGGATCCCTCTATTCTCACAGCGGCTGTTTTAAAGCAAGTCATCAAGGCAGTCGAATCCGTGAATATGAACGACGAGAGAGTCGAGGACACCACGTTACATAACATAGCGCTGAATCCCATTAAAGGAAATATTTGAAATTGGAGCAGTGTCATTTTCCCCAGGAAGCGGAAACATCCAAACATTGACATTATTTGTATTCCAGGCATCACTGAGAGCATTATTGGTAAACAGGCCCGGATAATGAAGTCATTGAAAAGCCTTTCCAACACGTGGAGCTGCCGATAGATGGAGATATTTTGTCGCATGGCGGCAAACGATGGAGGCGAGTCGCTTCAAAAAAATTAATTAGGTCACGTTACGCACACTTTTACCATCTTGGTAACAATATTATTACCGGTACAATATTATGACATTATACGGCGAGATTACAATTTTTAAATCGATTTGTCAATTGATACCAGTAAAACCTTGCTTTAGGTTTGGTGACATGGGCATGATTTAGCCTCTCTCTTCATGAAAATTTTTTACCAAAGCAGTTTAATTGCATAATATCTCCACCGGTAACATTATAGCCAAATAATTATTTCGAATAAAGTTTACGTACAATTTCAGTAAATAAATATACTCCAGAAAGCATCCAATTCCAGGAATATAAAGATTGAAGAGCCAAACTACCCCGCCGAATGTCAACGCGTAGTTCAGAAACGTTTCTGCAGCCAGGACGGGCAACCAATAGGGCAAACTGGGCCCGATCCAGTCCCCTTTGTCAGTGCAGAAGAGTGTACTTGCCCCAAAATAGGGTCGCTGGCACCAGTCAAAGTAGACCAGAACCATATTGAACAGGGCATAGTTGGGAACCGTAAAATACAACAGAATAGTACACACGAGACGGAGGAACTGGACAGCCATCTGATTTGCAGATTCCTTCACTTTATTCAATGGTTTATCTACAAATATAAAAATCTTGGATTATAAGGTTTCGTAATAATACTAATACAGAGTTTAACAGTCCCGTATCGCTTTTTGGATACCTTCGTGAGCAAGAGTAGATTTAAAACCCATATTTTTCGAAATGGTATTTAAAAATTTAAAAAACTCCGAAACTTGGCCATTCCATGATTTCTCTAAAATTATGCATGAGTGTTTGTCGACACTTTGTCTCCTTGTGACATAGTTTTGAAGATTCTGTTATTTTCCTTCATCTCTACCAGCAATGCAAACAAGTATACCTATACCTGG